TTGAAGATACACATACGATTGATTAATGCTTCTATGCCTTGAGACAAATTCAATGTATTAACAATCTATGCATCACCATGAAACATAAATGTATCAAGTACTGTTACTGATATTTAAAGCTTGATTACATTAGTTTCATCGTGCTTGATACTGACTTGTTGGGTTTCCTTCTATAGTATGTTCAAAGATTTGATTAGTCGTGAAAGAGACACCAACTTTCCTTGAAAATTTCAGGCCTTTGCTGGACTTGATGAAGAAATCTCAAGAAGAGCAAAAATGTTGGGAAATACAGCATTGGATACCGCATTGAATGCCCAGTTTTTGTTTCAGATTGGAGTTTTCACTGCAGTCCCTATGATAATGGGTTTTATACTTGAACTTGGACTGATGAAGGTAATCTATCAATTCGTTGCCAGGTTTTTTTCTTTCTGAAATATAATTTCAATTGATAAAAATAAGGAACATTGCTAATGAATTCACAAGATAAAAGTAATAATTTCTTTTGGGAAAAGTAAGGAGCAATTTATCTTGTTTGTCCTAAAAATTTCTTCTGCTACTGTCTTTCCACATTTTTTGTCAATTACATTGTTGATATAACGAGGATAACTCTGATTTTGTGTTTAATCTATACGCCTCAATATAATTTGGATTAGGCTCATATTTTTTCTAGGAAAGATGCAAGATCTTAGGTTTTCAGGTACGTGCACCACATTCTTGAGAGGCAAGATGATGCCAGGAGCAACTTGTGAAAGTATTCCAACCTTCCAATAAACCAAATTCGGGGGCTCAGATTTATTTGAGGATATGTTAACTATTACTATTAAACACTAATTCTTCACCGGATGACCCTTCCTAGTCTTGAGGAACTGTTTTATGAGCTGTAGATCTTATTGTTGCCGTAACTTTAGAAAACATGTTATCCGATGATTTGGTTGTCTTAAGGATTTGGGAAAAAACTTTGTACTCGGAACGGAGTTTGGTGTTTCAACAAGAGCCTGAGCATCGTTGGTGCAAAATTAGTCTAGTTAGCAAGCTATGTGAAAATAGTTTCAAAATAGAATTTGGAAATGACAACAAGGCTCTCTTTTGGGATTCCAACGATATCTCAATGAGGAAATTCATGAATGGGCCAGTCTATCACATCTCCTTTCATCAATTACTGTGAGGAACGCACATGATTCTTAGTTTTGGCCATTGGGTACCTTTAGTGATATTAGTCTTTCTACCTTACTCTCCAATTGGACTTCTTTCTCGTAACTTTCTTGAATTGTGGAGGTTCTTTCCTCCATTTACTCATTTATCACTAAAATTTGTTTCTCTTCTTTAAAATCAAAACCCTCTTTTGGTTGTGGTTGGATGTTTATATAGGAGTGGGTCACTATAAAATTTCCTCTATTTTTTACAGTTAACAACAAAAAGTTGTACTTCGTAAACCTGGAATATTTCAGGTAGAAGGAATTTGGTGGATAAGAAATTAAGTGTTTTTTAGAACTCCTTAATGCAGCTCAAGTCGTTTGACAGAATAGTTTTTTTTTTTTTGCTACAAAGATCAGGTAAGTTCATTAGTGTTTTTTTTGCTAGAGATCTGATCAGATGGTCTTGCTTTTGATAAAGCTCACAGAAATCCTCAATTTGTTAGCTGGTCCTTATTTTTGTAAGGCATGTCGACACCTTGGATAGAGTTTGAAAAGGTGTCCATATTTCTCTAGGGTATGCTTTGTAAAACACAATGGAAAAGCAAGATCATGCTAGGTATTATGCTAGGCCATATGCTAGGCCTCATGTTTGGTCCTCTTACTTTTCATTAAATCAATGGAAATGTAACATCAACACATATGCGGAGGTTGAAGTCTGGCTTTGATTCAAATTTCTTTTAGAGTTCCAAGAAGAAAGTTAGACATCCACCATATTGATGATGGGAAAATTCTAAATTGAAGGCACTGCTGAGAATTTCTGAATCTTGAATTTTCCTATGCTTAAATCCTCCCAAAATCTCAGTCTCCCACCAACTTTCATCCGAAACTTAACTCAGTAGAAATAAACCCAAACCTCTTTAATATCTGATCTAATCAATGTGTCAGACCCCTAGTAGCATATCAAGTAGAGGACTCTTTTGATGCACAGCTAAACTGATTTACTAATCCAGATTTGTTGAAAGCTTTCTGGTAATGGTGTTCATACGATGATTTTGTTTGGCTTGTTTGACATTTGCAGGCTGTTTTTAGCTTCATAACTATGCAGCTTCAGTTGTGTTCTGTCTTCTTCACTTTCTCTTTGGGAACTAGAACTCATTATTTTGGAAGAACTATTCTCCATGGTGGTGCCAAGGTATGTTTTGTTCTATTTGTCTAATCTAAGTAAAATAATTGAAAGCTATTTACGTTTTTGCCTGTTTCAAACCTCAAATATTTGCGCATTTACAATTCATCTACAGTATCGAGCAACTGGTAGAGGTTTCGTGGTCCAGCACATCAAATTTGCTGAAAACTATCGCCTCTACTCAAGAAGTCATTTCATCAAGGCGTGAGTGATTTCAATGATTTTTCATTTAGGAGTTCTCAGGATTTCATTGCTCAGTTTTTTGTTTGGAATTTGTTTTTGCTGGTAAATGAAAATGTGTAAATTATGACAATAACTTAATTCTCAGGCTTGAGGTGGCATTGCTTCTTATTGTCTACATTGCCTATGGGTATTCAGAAGGCGGAGCAAGTTCTTTTGTTTTGCTTACTCTCAGCAGTTGGTTCCTCGTCATCTCGTGGCTCTTTGCTCCTTATATCTTCAATCCATCTGGTTTTGAGTGGCAAAAGTATGTCTGACCATAAACGTATTTATAAAAAAATCTTCCTTTTCAAGTTTGATTTAATCAGAATTTGTTCAAATAGATATTATGATCTTACTTGATGATCAGGACTGTGGAGGATTTTGATGATTGGACCAGCTGGCTATTCTACAAAGGGGGAGTAGGGGTTAAGGGAGAAAACAGTTGGGAGTCATGGTGGGATGAAGAACAGGTGAAAGAGCTTTCTTTTTTCTTTTTTTTCTTTTTTTTTCTTTTTTTTTTTTTTTTTTTTTTTTTTTTTTTTTTTTTTTTTTTTTTTTTTTGTACAAAGACTTTTTATTGGTAGATGAAAAGGAATCCAAGTTTTTTGTTCTGACAAGAAAGAATTTCTTATTGATATAATGAAGAGGATTAAAAATAAAAAGGATACAAACTCCCAGGGGGTATGAACAAGAAAAATAAAAACAGCAAAGACAACCATATAGAGAACAACTATAAATCGAAACTTTTTCGTAGACCTAACGAAACATCACCCGTATCAAAAATGATTCTGTTATTGACTTTTGCTACCACCTTGAGTAGCTTTTACTATGTACTTCTCAGAAATAGCAGTGCAGGCATCATTGATAAATAAAAGAAAGTGCAGTACTTAACTTCTATCGTATTTCAACTTACCTTTATTTTTCTTAATTATTTTTCCTCTTAGGCACATATTCAAACATTGCGAGGTCGAATTTTGGAGACACTTTTGACTGTGAGGTTCTTTATATTTCAATATGGCGTAGTGTACAAACTCCATCTCACAGGAAAGGACACATCACTTGCGGTAACCTCTTTTTCCCTGGTTGACTTTTTCTTATTCTTGATTAGAAAATGAAAAGTAGAATATATGTTAATCCTATATTTAGTCGAAACTTGAAGTTCTATTGGCGAAAAATCAAAATCAAGTAAGATCATGCTCATCCACAGCATTGGAAGTGTGTTGGTTTTCCAATTTTCAAAAAAAACCGGAAGTACTTGGTTGCATTAAATCATAAAACAGAACATTTCGGCTTGAAATTTTTGAACTTCTACATTGTGAATATAACAGTAACTATGGGAGATCGGGTTGACTCTTTATAGCGTGCAATCGCAAGTCTGATTGAGATCATTCGCTTCTCTGATCTAACAATTGTCTTCGTGTTTATTAGTTATATGGTTTCTCGTGGGTGGTGCTTGTTGGAATTGTTTTGATATTCAAGGTTTGTACAAGTTCCTCGCCAATTCTTTACCTCATCCACCAATTTGTTCTTCAAATGTTTCAATGCAATTCACTCTAATAATTCTTCTCTCTGCAGATCTTCACCTTCAGTCCTAAAAAATCAACGAACTTCCAGCTATTGATGAGATTTATTCAGGGTGTCACAGCCATAATTCTGGTTACAGCGCTTGGTCTAATCGTTGGCTTTACTAACCTGTCAATAACCGACTTATTTGCTAGTGTTCTGGCATTTATTCCGACTGGATGGGCCATGTTATCTGTAAGTTCAATATCATTTAAATGAGTTGATAATGGCAAGCATCTTTGTTTCTAATCGTTCTTCTCTTCTGGTTGTTTCAAACAGTTCGCAGTTACATGGAAGAGAGTAGTGAGGAGTCTAGGCTTGTGGGACTCGGTGCGTGAATTTGCGAGGATGTATGATGCTGGGATGGGTTTGATAATATTCGTGCCCATCGCATTCTTGTCCTGGTTTCCATTCATTTCCACGTTCCAGTCTCGTCTGCTCTTCAACCAAGCTTTCAGTCGTGGGCTCGAGATCTCGCTCATCCTTGCTGGAAACAAAGCTAACGTTGAAACGTACTGATTTTAGCAGAGAACACATTGGCAGCAATGTAGATAGATATTCTATTGTAGACGTTACTCAAATCTTCTGTATCATGCATTCATTTCTGAGTTGTGATTGTTAGATTTTATTAGGGTGGTTCATATATTAGCATATGTTTCAATAGGTTGGTTGGAGTGTGGAGGAAGGCAAGACTAAGTTTATTATATATTATGGGGTTTTCCCTCTTCCTGTTTTTCTATCTAGGGTACTCGTTAAATTCTCAACTCGAAGTTCAATCATGTTTTCCCTCTCCCTCTCGAGTCTCGATTAGGGGGAAAAAATGCCTAATCAAGTACGTTCTGCAATCTATAATTTAAGAAGGTTAAAAAGCAAACATTCAGTCGATCTATAATTTATACAGACAAAACTGAATAGTGAACCATAGTACTCTTTTGTTTTTTCCTTTTTCCTTGATCATTAACATCCTCTCGTCGTGTTCATACATTGCCGATACATCGCTTCCAACTTTCGTCCTAACCCAAAAAATCAAATAAATTCAGCAATGCCAACACACAACAACGCCAATTTCAGCTGCGCTCATCATTTTCCTGCCAAACCTGCTTCAATTTTAACGTTTTGAAGGCAAGGAAAAGTCATGGAGCACAGTGGCTATTAATGGATCTTTGAAGACATCACAAGGCTGCCTGTGATGGTCTGCACATCCATTTACCAATAAAACCAACAAAACTCCTCCTAATTGATTTCACCGTCTTCAACATCATTTGCTGGCTTGTTAACACTCTGGGGTGGTGGTGGTTCACTTTCATACTCTTCCTCTTCATCATCCACCTTCATGTACAAACCAAGTTGTTCCAAGGGATTACTACCTTTAAGCTTGAAACTGCCATATTCATTCTGAGAATATTCTGGGCTGGACTTCTCTGTGAAGTTTGGTAGCTGATCGTCGTTCGAAGCCCTAAGCATTTCTAGATCCTCCATGAATTGACTGTTCTCATTAATATCAACAGTCCTCTCCATCTGCGTGATGGTAAGAATACAGCTTGGAAAAATTCAAATGGCTAGCACAAGATAATGATTATATTTATAAACTCTATTGTACCTTAAGTAAGGCCTGACGTGCAGCTTCTCTATCCAACTCCCTTTTCTTCTTTGCTTCAGCCGCAGCTTCTGCTTCTGCCTTCCTGTGAGCATCCTCTGCCTCTTTGGCCTCTGCTTGCAACCGGGCTTTTTCTGTACGTAAAAAATACATGAATTATCGACTTTTGAAATGGTCGTGATCACACTATTCTTTCTCTAGTGTTATTATGTCCTGTCTCAAATTCTGAAGTAGAGACTTCAACCTTCTCTTTTCTGTCTTTCAAGTTCCTCCCTCTCCATTCGCACTTTTTCAGGATCCCGCTTGTCACCCTGTAGCCAACTCACGTTAGCAACCTTCCAATAATAAACGACCAATCATAAGTAGAATCTCAGGTTTAACAAACCTTTTCAAGTGCCTTTTCTCGAGCTTTCAGTATCGTGTCGGCAAAACGGTTTCTCAATAAAGCTGCACGGTATAGCCTGTCAGGGGAGACTTGCCTCTTAGATGGAGCACCCTCCCCTATAATGTTAAGCATCGAAGATAAGTTGAAGTTCTAAAACCATAAGGCAGAAAAGTTTATCATGATGTTTTCTATTCTTACCCTCCTCTTGGTAGCTATCCGTGTCAGTAGTGCTTGTATTGCCCTGAGCAGATTGCTCAACTAGACCAATTCCATTTTCTTCAACTGCACAGTTATGGAAAAACAGCTACTTCATCATAAGCACTGATGATGAACAAATCACTGGAGGCAAAAACCTCTGTCAGCAAACTGAAGATACAAGGTTTAGCACCTGATACTCACAATTTCCAATTTCTAAATCACCAACTTCATATTGCTTCTGATCCAAATTTGTTTCAGAAGACAAAATTTCCTGACATGATAAAGGAAACCCAAGTAAAATTTGTGCAACTCATTCTAAGTGGCTCTTCTATCAGAAATAAAAGTATCAAGTATAATGGCATGCACGATAATCTAAATACACAGTAACAGAAAGGATATAAAATCCTGCACGCAAACATTTCACAAAGCATCATCACAATCATGAACATTAATGAATTTGTTTCATATTTCATATACAACCATGAACAATAAAGAAACGCTCAGTCAGTAAATTACTCAAACATTTTTAGCCCATGACAAACTAGAGAATTAACTCATAACTTAGTTAATGTAAAAACTTATATTTGAAGTCAATGTTCCCACTATGAGTTGTAGGATTGTATAGTTCCCAAAGCGGTGGAGGAAACTTCTGTACAAAGTAGAAAAATTGAAAAGCTATTAGCCTTTCTAAAAGTAGGAAATTGACACATTTTTGTTGCCAATTTATGCTTGACAAAAACGTTATTGCATTTTGTCCAATGCCCGACACAAAATTGGGGGATGATGAAATTGAAGAGTGAGCTTCATTTTCGAACATGCTAGCTCACTTCGCTATCACAAATAAACATTTAGCTTTCATCTTCTCAATGTACTCTTTATTCGGAAGCAAATAAAGAAGATCATCTTTTTTATCCTTCGTCCTTTTACAGTAAAAGAAATTTGTGCTTCGAGCTCTCTAACAGATATCTTTACAACTTTTCTCCATGTTCTCTTTGTTCGGAAGCACATAAAGAAGTAGACCATCTTCTTTTCCTTTGTTCTTTTAAAATAAGAAAATTCTGTGTTTCGTGCTCTCTAACTAGATACTTTTAGACTGTCCTGGATTCCCTGACAACTGTGTAGGAAGAAATTTGCTTCAACTGGCTATGACGTAACCCTTCAAAACGATGGCTAGGAAGCTTTAGTCTAATGTTATAAAATCGTACTTTCAATTATATGATGGGAAACAATAGAATTTTCAAATAAAAAGAGAAAGTTGTGGATAAATATTTGAAAGAGCAAAATCTCATGTCTTGTTGTGAGTTTCTATAGATATATAGTTTAGAAACCATAGTCCCTGAGTAAATAAACAGTGTTATTATGAGCTCCATTGGAGGGTTTTCTTCTAAACAACACTAGCTCAATCAACTTCTCTCCCTAACTTTTCACTAAGCAACGAAATGATTTGAATAGACAAAGATGATCAGCTGATTTATCTACACTATGCACTATGCTCAAAAGGATTGTTACGAATAGCCCATTGGAATCAAAAGACCGATGATACTACGAAAAAGAAAGAGAATGAAAAGTTTGGAAGAATATCAAGTCCCTCCCCTCTTGCATGCATCCTCCCAAAATCTAATTAGGATCGCATAACTAAGAAAACAGTTGATAGGGCAGAGAAAAGTCACGACCATCAATGAATCGTCTACCATGCACACAAGGATAATACTGCAACACAGAATTTTTCTTTAAAAATAATTATAATAAAGAAAACTATTTAACCAATAAAACTTGGTCGTAGAAATAAAGTTGCATTTTGTGTTAAGACTTATGACCCCATTAAACATCAAACACAAAAGCCAAGAGGAATCTGTCCCCCTCGATTTAAATAAAAGAATTACGATTAAAAAATCATAATAGCGACATGATAATTCAGTAATAACATAGGTATACTAAAGCTTATTTTCAGTAACATCCTTGATATTACCAATAAGATCTATTTGTCCTTCAAAGTTCACTTCTAAAATCATAGAACCACACATCCAATGCCCTTGCCTCACCATTAATTGCATTACTCTGCCAAATTAAATTCCTTAATCCACACCACTGATTTCCCCTTGAGATGTGTAAATATTTGGTCAAGAAAAAAGGTAATGCGTGAAAGGGGGAAAGGAAAACATTCTCCATATAGTCCTAAACAATCAAAGTTTTTGGGTTTTCAATACCTTTGGAGCCACGTCACTATCTAATGCTTTAGCAGCATTAGATTCACTCGCCGATAAACTATCTGAGCCAGAATCTGCATGGTCAAACAGCAGAATACTTTTAGATTTGGCGTGAGAGAGAGACTCGTCAAGTTATATTACAGATTGATATTATAAAAAATAATGAAGATTACAAAACAATTGTCCAGTCATACATATCTAACATAACTACGAACACGCCAAAATCTTAAATTCAAAAAGAATAAATCCTTGCAATAGAAACTGCCCAAGGAAACAGTAGCTCAAGTTAAAAATACTTTTGAAATTTTTTTATTTATAATGAATAGAAGAATGCATAACAAGGTTCAAAGTTTTAAGTCAAAATTAAATGATAACACCAGAAATTAGTGAAAAGGAATTAGGGGCAGGTAACAACACCAACCACTTGATGTAGAACCTGATTCACTACTCGAGCTACTGGAATGATTGCATTTACTATCTCTATGGACTGCATCTTTCTCTATTTCTATTGGAGGATAGCTTGAAACAGGTGGGTCATTTCCACCAACAATGTCTACATCGTCATCAATCCGACCATTTCCTAACAAGGGAAAAATGAAAATTTAGAAGATCCAGGAAATCAACCTTCATTTTGAACATAAATCTATCCATGAAGTACCTCTACAGGGTGGCATTGATGAATTGCTCAATCCTGATTCGTTGTGAAGCTGCTGAGTAGAATATGACGGCAATTAGAAGCCATTGAATAAGTCATTATAATCAGTGCAATTTTAATGATAAACACGTGAAAATGAGAATGGAAACATGTATACACCTCCACTACACAAGGTTCATCCGTTGTGCGTTTCTGCTTTTCCATTATATAGTCGTCCAATTTCTTCTTCAAAGCAAACAAGGTATCATCAGTAAGAGTATCAATATCAATTTCAATCTCCTCCTCGCCCGCTAGAGGATTAGAACTGTGCTCCTTTAGGAAATCAATGATGCTTTCAGGCAATTCTCCCAGCAACGCCTCCAACTCCACACTCAGTTTATGCTTCTCCTGGTCAGTCATGATTTTTGACACACTGTTTGGCTGAATATCAGGGCTATTAGTAGGGATTTTTGTCTTTTTTGAACGTGACACGGGCAGAGTACTTTCAGCTTCCTTATAAACAATCGTGGCTGAAGATACTTGACGTTGTTCTTCAGTTGTTACAGGGAGCTTCTTCTCTATAGTTTTCCATCTAACTTCAAAATATTTACTTAGGGTCTTAGCCATGATATGGACGTCATTCCCGGGAGGGTTGTAAGTCATCGCATTTGAAAAAGTAAGTCGAACATCTGCAGCAAAATCCAATGGATGTGCGTATTCTCCTGCAGTAATCTTAGACTTCACAGTGCCCAGATCCATTGGATGCTTTATAACAGTGAAATAATCTGGAATATTCAACTTGACCACATCAACTGGGGTGTTAAAAACCCAACCAAATGGATGCGACATCAAGCGAGGCAGCAGCTGTTCACATTGTTTCAATAACAATGCTGTCGAGGAAGCAGATACAGCAGCTGGTTTAACAGACTCAAACCGCCCAGATGAGCTTCTTACAGCTGAAGGGCCATTGCGCCCAGAGGGCACTAGCTTTTTAGCAGGAGGAACCGATACCACGGACAACCTATTAGAAGTCTCTGGAGGAGCTCCCCTGTGCTGATCACTATAACTCTGAATATTACTCAACGATGAAACAGCCAAACTCGAACTAACGTCAGAAGCTTTCTTTTGCAGAACTCGGACCTGCTCAAGTTCTAACTTTAACCTTATCTCTAAACCTTTCCTTTCAGATCGAGACAATGTTGATATAGAAAAAACTTGAAGAGGAGCAACAAAACAATCATAACCATTTGCATTCATACTAACACGCTTCCTCTTGAAGGCCCGTGGATCATCTAGAGATGAGATTCCAGTATCCATTCGTCCAGAGCTCCCTAACCCTTCTGATTCGCGAACCATTACCACAGCATCTCGGTAATCTGGAACAAAACCAAAAGAAAGAGCTTTGGAATATTTCCTCGATTTCCCCATTACCTGTGAAAGTGAGTACTTTCTCGATTCCTTCTGTCCAGCAAACTCAATAGGAACAGTCGGTGCCATAGGATTAATTCCCAGCAACTGCACATGTCAACTGCAACCATAAATTTTGTACCCGAACTATGATATTCCAATCCATATTATCAAAATTGAAGCTCCGCCCAATGTAGAAGTCCGGATTTAAAGAAATATGCGCGCTGTTATTTGTTTGTAGCAAGCAACGAATTAATTTTAAGTTTGGTCTTTTAACATTGATACATAATCTAAGAAGATTAATACTTCATCAGAACAACGGTGTCCTGTGGTCGACCAGTGCACGAATGGGTTGCCATTTGAAGGAATCCCAAAGCTCGTGAAACAAATTCACTATTTCCTCCCTGGATGAATTCAAACATGAACAGGTTGACAGAGAATAGGTTCAGACAACTTCCCAGAAGTCACTTAAACAATAGACAATGACTAAACAACCCAAACCACAAAAATCCAGTGGCTCAGTCCAAGCAATTGAAATCCCGGCAAACTCAGAAGCTTCGACCACATAACCATATATTCCATGAAAACAAAATTGCTTCCTCAGCCCATCACCTCCTGCCGTCACAAACATCAGCCTCACTCCTTAAGAGATACTTCCGCCTTCGGAAGAACCCAAAATGACAAGGAGAAGAAAATTCGAGAAGGAGAGAAAATCGAAATATATGAAGGGCAGATTACAATCCAAGATCATGAGATAAACCCCTCGAAATGAAACCCTAGATCGAGCAGGAGTAAACGAAATTACGCCAAAAATCAGAACAGAACAGGAAACACGAAAAAGGCAAGAACTCTATGAAGGCGCTGGTAGAAATCCAATTGGAAACCTGGATCACGAGCAGAGCCCGTCGCTCGCAAAGCAAACCAACCCCGGAAAGACGATAACGCCCTTTACAGAGAGATGGAGAGAGGAATGAGGAACTGCTGAGAGAAATAGACAGTTGAGGCCGGAAACTCAGATTGATGGACTGGTTCCATATTTAAAGGCCCGCTGGCCTCGATCCCCGCCGCTAGCAAACGAATCTGGGCCGTCCATTCTCTCCCCTCCAAAGATTCCAGGCATGGTATCTGAACCCGTTCAGGCACGTCCGATTCAGATCTATCTGATGGTGTCTTTCTTACAGAAATTATTGCCACTAACTTAAACCTAATCCAAATACCCGTAAAACTCTCGCGAGTAGAGAGTTGTGGCAACTCGCGCTGGAACTCGGCAACGTGTGATATTAGGTTCCCGTTTTGTTTTACCCGCGAATGAGGAAAGTTTGATGGGGACGTCGACCACGTGTCTGTTAGACTTCTTACGGCAGCAAGACGATGTGCTGGATTTGGCGTCCCTCTCTTTCGTCATTATTCTTTTTTTAATTTTTTTTCTTTAATTTTGATTATGATCTTAATAAAAATTAAAAATTAAGTTAGAAGTTGGTTCAATAAAAATAAAAAAAATCTTAAACACGACTCTATTTCACAATTAATTTTACAATCTTTAAACACTTTAACTTACATACAATTAATTTTATCGTTTGAATCAATATTTAAGCATTTTTTTATTTGTATGATTGTTGTGATTAATTTGCTTTAATATTTTTATTATCAAATTTTTGCATTTAGGTCAAGCTATTTAAACAGATTTGATTCATTTGTTTGTTTAGGATTAATTTTCTAACTTAGTTGTAGAAAACATTAATTACAGCATTTATTGAGTTTACTATTAAATTTGATACAAATTTAAGCTGTCGAGATAAAAACTGACCAATTGTATTCAATAGCGAACCATGAATGATATTGTTCCAAGTAAATGAAATTAAAAGGCACTGACTATATAGATTGAATTGGTTGAATTTATCAGTATATTCAAAATGAGCAGAGCATTTTTCTTTTTTAAGGCTACTTGTTTATGGGGGATTGGTATTGGTGTAACACATAAGCAACAGTGATTCGAAACAGCAACAGTGGAATAATCATGTTCATACCGCCATTGAAACGAAGAGGAAGCTACTCGTTGCTGTAATTGACACTCTTCCTCGTTCCCATCTGTTAAGGATAGTTGACCGTTCATTAAGGCAAATATCTAGATATTTGCCTTACATTACGGGTTACCATATTTTCTCTTTTACTAAATGCAAATATATTGTATTCATTTATTATTCTTTCCTTTTATCGCTATTTCCTTATTATTTGTAATTTACCTTATTTCTGTATTCTGTAAATGATTATAAATAAGAGAACTCTCACCACCATTTGGGTGTGGTGGATTAATCAAACATTCACATGGTATCAGAGCCCTTTCGGTTTAACAACCCTGATCCTTTCTTCTCTATGGCTTCCGAATCTTGTTATCATCTTCTTCCTTTCAATACTCTAATCCATATGATCACCATCAAACTTTCTTCCTCCAATTATCTTCTTTGGAAAAGCCAACTTCTCCCTCTTCTTGAGAGTCAAGACATGCTGGGCTATGTCGATGGAACTATGGTTCCACCACCTCGCTTTGAACCAGAAACCTCCTCAACATTCAACCCCAAATATTTGGCATGGAGAGCAGCCGATCAACGACTTCTCTGTCTCCTGCTCTCCTCTCTCACTGAGGAAGCCATGGCTGTTGTCGTTGGTCTCTCTACTGCACGTGATGTTTGGCTTGCGTTGGAAACTACGTACAGCCATCAGTCAAAAGCTCGTGAACTGAGACTCAAGGATGACTTGCAGTTGATGAAACGTGGCACAAAACCTGTTGCTGAGTATGCCCGTGCCTTCAAAAAAATTTGTGACCAACTTCATGCCATTGGCAGACCCGTCGAGGACATTGATAAAGTGCATTGGTTCCTTCGTGGACTCGGCACCGAATTTTCAGCTTTTTCTACTGCTCAGATGGCTCTCACCCCTATCCCCTGTTTTGCAGATCTAGTCTCTAAAACTGAAAGTTTTGAGTTGTTCCAGCGCTCCCTTGAGTCCTCTGACTCCACTCCTACAGCATTCATAGCCACTAATCGTGGCCGCACCCATGAAAGTCACCCTGCTTCCTTTACCAATCAGCGAGGTCGTTCTTATTCTCACAAAAACAACTCTTCTAATCGAGGACGAACCCACTCAAGTCAGGGTCGTCGACCACCTCATTGCCAAATATGCCGCAAAGAGGGCCATTATGCTGACCGCTGCAACCAACGGTATGTTCGACCTGATTCTTCTCATGCTCACCTTGCTGAAGCCTTTAACACGTCATGTTCTATTGCTGGACCCGATGCTGCTGATTGGTTTTTGGACACTGGAGCTTCGGCCCATATGACTGCCGACCCATCAATTCTGGATCAGTCTAAAAATTACACGGGTAAGGACTCTGTGATTGTAGGAAACGGTGCATCCCTACCCATTACCCACATCGGTACTCTTTCTCCTGTTCCAAATATTCACTTATTAGATGTCTTGGTTGTCCCTCACCTCACTAAAAATCTTCTTTCCATAAGTAAATTAACGTCTGATTTTCCTCTCTCCGTTACATTTACTAATAATCTTATTACTATCCAGAATCATCAAACAGGAAGGGTGGTGGCAACCGGTAAAAGAGATGGAGGGCTATATGTGCTGGAGCGCGGCAACTCTGCTTTTATTTCAGCCCTTAAAAACAAATCTTTACGTGCTTCATATGATTTATGGCATGCTCGTCTGGGTCATGTGAATCATTCTGTTATTTCTTTTTTAAATAAAAAAGGTCATCTTTCTCTTACGTCTTTATTGCCTTCTCCATCATTATGTAATAGTTGTCAGCTTGCGAAAAGCCATCGATTGCCTTATTCCCGCAATGAACGTAGGTCGTCTCATGTGTTAGATCTTATTCATTGTGATCTTTGGGGTCCTTCTCCCGTCAAATCAAATTCGGGTTTTCTTTATTATGCTATTTTTATTGATGATTATTCTCGATTCACTTGGTTTTACCCTTTAAAATTTAAATCTGATTTTTTTGATATTTTTCTTCAATTTCAAAAATTTGTGGAAAATCAATATTCTTCTCGTATCAAGGTATTTCAAAGCGATGGTGGTACCGAATTTACTAGTACTTGTTTCAAAACTCATTTACGTAATTCTGGCATCCACCATCAACTCTCTTGTCCATATACACCTGCTCAAAATGGTCGTGTTGAGAGAAAACATCGTCATGTGACTGAGACTGGCTTGGCCCTTCTCTTTCACTCTCATCTTTCTCCTCGTTTTTGGGTTGACGCCTTCAGCACTGCAGCTTATATTATCAACCGGTTGCCTACTCCACTTCTTGGAGGTAAGTCACCCTTTGAACTCCTTTATGGCTACACTCCACATTATGACAATTTTCATCCCTTTGGTTGTCGTGTTTATCCTTATTTGCGTGATTATATGCCTAACAAGCTTTCTCCCCGCAGCATTCCTTGTATTTTTTTGGGTTATAGTCCTGTTCATAAAGGGTTCCGCTGTCTTGATCCCGCCACCACTAAGCTATATATCACCTGCCATGCTCAATTTGATGAAACTCACTTTCCTGCTATCCCTAGCTCCCAAGCCCAACCTCTTTCCACTATTCCTATTTCAAATTTCTTGGAACCACATCTTCATCATATTGATTCATCCCCCCCTACCACTTCATCACCGCACATTCCTCAATCCAGTTCATCCCCGTGTGATATTTGTTCTGACCTTGTAGATGAGTCTGTGCAGGTTGATACTTCTCTTGCAGGTTCCACTTTGTCACCCTCGACTTCTAATTCAACCTCTATTGAACCTCCTGTTGATTTCTCTTCTTTGGGCACTCATCCTATGATCACACGCGCCAAAGCTGGTATATTCAAGACTCGTCATCCAGCAAATCTTGGTATGTTGGGCTCATCTGGACTTCTCTCTGCTCTTCTTGCATCCACTGAGCCAAAAGGATTCAAATCTGCGGCTAAGAATCCTGCTTGGGTGGCTGCCATGGATGAAGAAATTCGAGCGTTACAACAAAATGATACTTGGACTTTGGTTCCTCGCCCTGCCAACACCAACATCGTGGGCTCTAAATGGGTGTTTCGTATTAAATATTTGCCCGATGGATCCGTCGAGCGTTTCAAGGCTCGTCTCGTTGCCAAAGGTTATACTCAGGTTCCTGGTCTTGACTACACTGACACTTTCAGTCCAGTTGTCAAAGCTACCACTGTCCGTGTTGTGCTTTCTATTGCAGTCACAAATAAATGGCCTCTTCGACAACTTGATGTCAAGAATGCTTTTCTCAATGGAACGCTTATTGAACGTGTTCATATGGAACAACCTCCTGGGTATGTTGATCCTCGATTTCCAAAGCATGTTTGTCTATTAAAGAAAGCTCTCTATGGCTTAAAGCAAGCTCCTCGTGCTTGGTTTCAGCGTTTTAGCTCATTTCTTCTCACACTTGGGTTTTCTTGTAGTCGCGCTGACACGTCCCTTTTTGTCTTTCATCAGCAATCTAACCTTATCTATTTGCTTCTTTATGTTGATGACATTATTGTTACCGGCAACAACTCATCTCTTATTAACAGCTTTACTCGCAAGCTTCATTCTGAGTTTGCTACCAAAGATTTGGGTTCTCTCAGTTACTTTCTTGGTCTTGAAGCTTCACCCACTCCTGATGGTCTCTTTATCAGTCAGTTAAAATATGCTCGAGATATTCTTACTCGTGCTCAGTTGCTCGATAGCAAACCAGTTCACACTCCCATGGTTGTTTCTCAACACCTGACTGCTGATGGTTCTCCTTTCTCTGATCCTACTCTCTACAGATCTCTTGTTGGCGCCCTTCAGTACTTGACTATCACGCGTCCAGATATTGCCTATGCTGTCAATTCTGTCAGTCAATTCTTGCATGCCCCTACTGCAGATCACTTTCTTGCTGTCAAACGTATTCTTCGCTATGTCAAAGGAACACTCCACTTTGGTCTTATCTTTCGTCCATCCACTGTTCCTAGTACGCTAGTCGCTTATTCGGATGCTGACTGGGCTGGTTGTCCCGATACTCGTCGTTCTACATCCGGCTATTCTATTTATCTTGGTAACAATCTCATTTCTTGGAGTGCCAAAAAGCAACCTACTGTATCACGCTCCAGCTGTGAATCTGAGTATCGTGC